TAACCATATGAAGACAGGGCGGTTTCAATTCAATGTAAATATAAAACCAACGAATCAAAGACAAGCCGAATTTGGCCACAAGGCAATAAAAATACAAAAAAGTCACTGGGATCAATTAAAACTCAAAGGCAAAAGGGAAAACATCGAAAACTTGGTGAATTTCAAGCTAAACTTAGTAAATGATGCTGCTGAAATTCTGAAGAAATTCTTCTGCTGAAATTCTTAACATTTAAACAACTGAGCCTTTCCTTTCAATTCCAAGTCAAACAAAGATCTAAAATTTGTGCCAGCAAGTTCTCGAAAAAAAAAAAAACCATTACGGACAGTCCTTCAAAGTTCAAGGCTAAATTTGAGGAAAAAAGTGCGGAGGTATAATTAAACACTAAACCTCAATGTGCTTTTCGGCAGCCGGTATGCACTCGTTCAGATCCGATAGCAGAATTCCACCTTTCCCTTCCAGGTGATGTTTTTTCAGTACTGCTAGTAGCGAATTCTTTCCTTTAATTCTATAAGGAGGCTTAAAAAGGTATTTTCCGTTTTCATCGACTGTTAATCGTGGATTTGCTGGCAAAGCCTGGAAAAGAATCAGTGATCAGGAAATGAAAAACCACCGCTGCGTAACCAAACTAATATATTGGAAAATTTTATAATACCCAAAAAAGCTGATCATCAGCAGTAGCTCTTACAGCGAAAAAAGGAATTTTTTTTGACATCATAAAATTTTAACAATTATCAAAAAAGACAAAAATGCTAACTTCCTGAAGCCATGCTTCCGATTTTTTCCCAAGGTCGTAAATCTGTAGTTCTTCCAATATTTCTTTTAAACTCAGCGACCACTGCTGTGACGACAAGTGCCGTTTCTGCGAAAAAAAAAAAAAAAAGATTCTTTCAGCAATATAAATAAAATTCTCATGAATATGATAATATAAACACCGTGTTGTCGAATCATTAAGGATACCAGAAACGACCAAAACAAGCTGTATGCTCTAAGTTAATCTATTTTATGTGGAACACGCTCTATCTAAGGATACCATCGAATGAAGGCCTCCCATCATACAAGCATCAATCGCCATACGCGACAAACTAATTTTCAGCGAAATCAACAACACGTTTACTTTTTTTTCTCCTTATTTTTTTTACTGATTGCGTGCTATCCTACGTGCTACTGCTCCAAATAGACGTATGATCGTTCGTTCAGTCAAATATAAATAGTGACGCGCACCAGACTAGCCGGTGGGATCATGCGTTTTGTGCAATTTAGCCCATCGAACGATTGCCTATTAATGATTTTCACAGCTTTGTACTTTAGTCTATGCAAAAATAACTTAAACACTGGAAAACAATTAAAAATTTCGCGCACAAGCGCACGAAAGCTGGATTCGAAACCTTGAAGGGTGAATATCTTTCCGTGATTCCCGAGTTAATAGCTTACCCGCTAAAATTTTCACTAGCCAGTAGATGATACCCGACAGCGCGGGAACGCCGAATTTGAATCGGCAAGGTCGAGCGTGGGGAGGGGTCATTACCGTAAAATTTCAGCTTCCAAGACCCAGTGGTTCCCGAGATAATAATTTACCCGCAAAAACTTTCACGGGGCCATACGTGTTATCGCGGGTACGAGGAGGCTGAATTTAAATTTGTCGCGTCACCCACTGGAGGGGACACTATACCGAAATTTCAGCCGCCCAGCTTTTGTAGTTCCCGAGTTGAAAGTGCGGGACAAAATATGGGACACACACACAAACAACCCTGTGACAATATACGTTTTGTAGTGGTGTTACACAGCACAAAAAAACATAAAAAGCAATCGAAGCATATTTTTTCTCCTTCTTCATTGCTAGCCTTCATCCCTTGCTTTCGTCAATTTTGCATCCGCACTTATAATTTACAGCGCAAGATGATGATAGTTCAGCCAGGCAGGAAATGAAAAGTACCTAAAGTTGTAATTTTTGAGCATAACAAAATCAAAATTACCCTCATATAATCGACTATTTTTGCCATCGTCCCAAAATTGGCGGCATTCGATGTCGCCTGACTCTGAGCATTTCTCGATGTGAAATCCGATAGTGCTGAAGAGCAAATGTATTTAAAGAAGAAAAGTCATAAAAACGAAGCCAATTTTGTGCTCATAACGCAATAAA